CATTATCGAAGCAAGAGCAAAGGCATGAGCGAAGAATATGTAGCGAAACTACAGTGGTAACGGTAATGTGTGGAAAATGGGGTGCGCGACGGGCCTAGCACCGAGGTTGGGCATTGTCGAGGTGGAGGTCCTGAGCGCGGGTACCAACCGAACCGTGAGGCTGGGTCGCGTCGTAAACAATGGCGGGAACGGTGTCGAGGCGAGTGTCACGAGTGGTAACGGATTACTGTTGGGTGCTGCTGGCGGGAACAGTAGTGTACGCACTGAGCAAGGACGTGAAGTAAGGAAAATGAAATTTCCTTACAGGCACCTAAAATGCATCTTTGTCGGGCGAGACTGAGCTTATGAGCAATGATTGACCAGATTCCTCACAAAGCTAAGTCCCCTTGACTTGAGTACAGAAGGTAACAATCAGTGTAACAATGAATAAAACCAATGATTGTTCAGCGTTTTTATATTATGTACTCTGGAAAATCAGCATTTTCAATCAGTGTTTGTCCTCCTGGGACACTGAGTGATAAGCTTGCCCCAAAGCAAATCTAAGGGCCTGCATATGCACCTCTAGTGAAGTTTTTTAGTAACTGGTGTTGGAATATTACAGGCTGCAAATATTTGATTCCGAGCTTTCGCACTAGGGTGAGAAGTCGGACACGCCCTAACCGCGTCTCCTAATTAGGTTCGACCTTACATGCTGTAAGGAATTTTCTCGCTATTCCTTATTGCGATAGTCAACATCGCATACAGCAGCAGCCTTTGTTTGCCCGTTATTGCTAACGGGGCTTCGCCAGCTTCGCGCGCATTGTTTCACCAAACCTCGCACTGTTGGAGCAGCCGAGTCGGCCTACGCTTCGGGACTAGCCCGAACCTCGCGCCAGCGTAGCACTAGCTAGCTGGCACACACCGCGTTACCGGTTGCTCATACTTTGTACTGTTTGAACACTCTAGTGCAATCCTCGCTACCTGGAATCATTGCACCCGTAACACTTGGTTATCAGAGCCACTTTCTTTTCGAACCGCGCATGTCACCACCCCAGGAAATGAACTTTTGATTTTTCACTCGAAGGGACTCACGCCCCTTAGCACCTAGGAGCCGCTGTCCTCGCGTTCTCTCGTAAACGCTTGCAGCCACGACTATGCCTAGACTAAGCTGAGCTGACACCCTTCGTTATGGCCGAACACATCGACGTCACTACGCTCACACATGACTGTCAGAATATAATGCTTGTCTAGTCTGTAGTGGGGTACTCAATAGTGAGTATACCCTTTTAGGGCTTGCTATTTGTACCTCCCTCCTTTCTAGTCAAACCCTCCTTTTGCCTAATTCTCTCTTGCTTAGCTAGGTAAACCCTAGCTATGGCTCCTTGTTCTAGCTACTATTGTGACATGGAATCAGAGCTGTTACGCTCTTGGCCTGTGGGCCCGCTCGTGGCGCGCGGCGGTTTTCTGCCCGCCATGCGCTCGGGATGCATGGCGGTTTCCTGCTCGCCGCGCACCCTGGGCACGCGCGGCGGTTTTCGCGTTCCGTCGACCCGCGAGCCTGTCCCTGCCGACCTGCGCGCGGCTCCTCATCGCCCTTCGCGGCGGCCCCGTCGACCCGCGCGCGGCTCCCCGTCGCCCTTCGCGGCAGCCCCGTCGACCCGCGCGCGGCTCCCCGTCGCCCTTCGCGACGGCCCCGTCGACCCGCGCGCCGCCCCCGGGGACCCGTGCGCCCGTCCCCGTCGACCCGGGCGTCGCCCTACGGCCCCCCCTCCCCGCGCAACTGAGTTCGCTTTCCGCACACCCGAGTTCGCTTCCCGCACGCGTGTGCACTGCTTCGCGCACACCTGAGCTCGCTTACCGCACACTCAGGGTATGGGGGTGATGGATATGGGGGTGGCGGGTGTGTGAGCCGTCACCTGCTCCTCCTCCTCCTCCGTCTCCCACTGCTGCAGCTGCCGCTGAGGGGGGTGGGTGTGTGGGAGCCGAGGGAGTGGTGCCAGGGGGGTGACGTGGGAGTGGAGCTATGGGTGCAGCAAGGGATGTGTGAAAGGGGGGTGGGACAGTTGGGGGAGGTTGCGTGGAGGCTGCCGTCGTGTCGCCTACAGCGCTAGTAGTTCGGAGCCTGTCTTGCTCTCGGTAGCCCAGCGAGCATGCTATGCCTGTCGCCCATGGGTCCGTTGCTCCTGCCGGTCGTCGTAGCCGCGGAGCCTGTTACTCCTGTAGGTCCGGAGCCGTCGTGCTCTCGGTAGCCACTGTGCCAGCCGCTCCTGTTGCCCGTGTGTCTGCAGCTTCAGCCGTTGCCTCCCATCTCCTCTCCTCTCACAGTCTAGCCTCCTCCTCACGTGCCCGTTGTGAATGCCTCTAGCTTTTCTTGCACTTGTGAACCTGCACTGTGACTGCTTGCTATGCTGATTATACCCCACTTTGAATATGGGGGTATGTCAGAATATAATGCTTGTTTAGTCTGTAGTGGGGATACTTGTCAGAGGTCCACAGGTGATCCCCGATTGATCCTAGGGAAGGGCTACAGGCATGTTGGCCTGGGGGGTTATGGGCGCACTGACCCGCTACTTAAAAATCCCTTTTATCCCAATGGTCTAGTGGTCGGGATTCTGACATGGTATCAGAGCGAAGGTCTCGGGTTCGAATCCCGGTGTATGCACTTCGGGCATCCCAGTGCGGGGGGGTGTCAGAGGTCCACTGGTGATCCTCGATTGATCCTAGGGAAGGGCTACAGGCATGTTGGCCTGGGGGGTTATGGGCGCACTGACCCGCTACTTAACAAGCCCTTTTATCCCGGTGGTTAGTGGCTGGGATTCTAACAGTACTCAATAGTGAGTATACCCTTTTCGGGCTTGCTATTCGTACCTCCCTCCTTTCTAGTCAAACCCTCCTTTTGCCTAATTCTCTTTTGCCTAGCTAGGTAAACCCTAGCTATGGCTCCTTGTTCTAGCTACTATTGTAACAAGGACCGCTTGAACGAATTGTTGCGCCAGCTGCACGAAAAATCAGAAGAAATTGCAGCGCTGACGGCGGAACGCACGTCCCCGCAGAATAACGTCGCACGAGTACAACAAGCACATTCACAAGCACCTGGCACTATGAGACAACCTGCTCCACAGGCATCGCAGCACGGAAGTGTGGGGCGACCCACGAGCGTGGCCAGTGATGGCGTTGTTCACCACGACGAGGACGACGACCACGGCACGACACACCCCAAAGCGACGAATGTGGCTAGGATTCAACCTTGCATCACCATTTCTGCGCCGGCTGGCGAATCAACACTGCCGTCGCCGATGCCGCTGAAGCCGCAGCGTCCGCCATGCTTTGACCGGGGTCAACGGAGTAGTCCTACCATTCAGGCGTGGTTGTTCACGTTGAACGTTTTCTTCGACGCCAACTACGTCTCGGAGGATACGGCGAAAATTCGCTACACCGTGTCGTTGCTGCGAGGACCCGCCATGGATTGGTGGAGCGTCATTGTCACAAAGCTGATGGACTACGCCACTCTATCGACACGGGAAGGACAAACCAGACCCTGGGCGCCATCATATTTCGTGGAGGTGCCCCAATATTGCACGTGGGACGCATGGTGCGCAGGTCTGCGTGCCCAATTTGAGCCAATCGCGGCTTCGATCGCGGCGCGTTAGAAGCTCCGCACTTGGAGCCAACTCGGTTCCGTCCAAGACTACACCGGCGGGTTTCTGGCGTTGTGTGAGCAGGTGGGCTAGATGCACGAATCTGAGCGTATTGACCACTACATCGGCGGCCTGAAGCACAACATTGCTCAGGAAATCCAGCTCCGCGGTGTCACCGACTTCCACAGGATTCTCTCTATGGCGAAGAAGCTCGACATTTTCCGCCGACCGAGACCAGGGTCCTACGGAAGCAGCAGCAACTGGGGGTGTCAGACATATATGATATAGCCTATGTAGGTTGTAGTGGGGTAGACAATAGGGGGTACATATATTATAGGGTTTCATACTTGTACCTTGCACATTCCTAGTCAATTCATTCCTCATTCTTCACATGGTATAGAGCGGGATCCCTAGTGGGACCGTTTCTTCCTAATGGCCCACCTTCGAAAAAAAATTTAGCCTGCCCGAAGCGCGCTTAGCGTCCTGCCCTAAAATTTTGCAACCCCTTAGTGGCCTGCCCCTTAACGGCTCCTTAGTGGCCCCTTAGCGGCCCCCTTAGCGGCCCCCTTCGCGGCCCCTTCACGGCCCCTGTCGCGACCCCTTAGCGGCCCCTCGCGGCCCCTCTCTTAAGGCCCTTCGCAACCCCTCCTTGGCGGCCCTTCGCGGCCCCCTCACGGCCCTTCGCTGCCCCTCCTTCGCGGCCCTTTGCGGCCCTTTTGCGGCCCCTCCGCGGCCCCTTCATGGCTCTTCGCGGCCCCTTCGCGGCTCCTCCGCGGCTCTTCGCGGCCCTGCCGCCCCGTCGTCACCACCCCAGCAGCAGCTGCCATCGTGCCTGCTGCTGTTGCCGCTTCCGCCACGGCCGTTTGCCGCCGCCGCTACTGCCGTGACAGTCGCCGCCGCGGCTGCCGTGACAGCCGCCACCGCTACTGCCGTGACAACTGCCCCCGCTGCTGCTGAGACAACCGCCTCTGCCGCTGCCGTGACAGCCGCCGCCGCCGTTCGTCGCGGCCGCTGCCGTTCCTCGCAGCCGCCGCCGCCGCCATCCCGACCCTACCCTGCAGCCGAGTCGCGGCCCTCCTCTGCCGCCCTGTCGCGGCCCTTATCCTGCCGGCGCACCTCGGCCCTGCCCCACCACTTGCGGGCTTCTATACACCCGCCCCTGGTAAGCGCACCGCCGAGCCGCGCCCCTCCTACTGCTGCTATTGCTAACCTGCTTCTGCTGCTGCTGCTGCTGTCATGGCTAGTGCCAATGTGCTTACTTTGATGCCGAGGGTCGAGCTGTAGACTTTGAGGTCAGGGTCGATGATCTGCAGCTTTTCCTGCAGTCCGATCGCAAAGACGGTCTCTCACTGTTTGATCTCACGTCTGGCGCCTATGCTGCCCATGCTGCCGATGCAGACAATACTGTTCGCTCACAGTGGACCACACGCGATGCTGCTGCCCGTCTTGCTGTGCGTAGTCACCTGCCGTCCTCTGAGCGTGCGCACTCTAGTCAGTACACGAGTGCTAAGACCTTGTACGACGCTGTAGTTGCACGTTACTCTTCCCCTGCCACTGCTGCCCTTAGTTGCCTCATGCTGCCGTACCTGTTCCCTGACCTCGCCGCCTTTCCCACAGTCGCTGACCTCATTACGCACCTTCGCACTAGTGACACCCGCTACCGCGCTGCGCTTCCTGCTGAGTTCTGCGCCAAGAACCCCACCCCCCATGTACATCACCCTCTACTACCTAGTCACCCAGCTCCCTAACTCCCTTCGCTCGGTCAAGGACCACTTCCTCTCTGTTTGCCCCACCACACTCACCGTTGACCTCCTCGAGCAGCGCCTCCTTACAGCTGAGAAGAGTATAGTCACTGTAGGAGCCTCTCGTGGTGACCCTCGCGCCCCCGTCTTTGAGGGGTGCTCCCCCTCCCCCCGTTTGCCCTCTGTTGCCTCTGCTGCTGCTGTCGACCTAGTCGGCACCGAGTCGGTCGGTGCTCCGTCTGCCCCTAGCGGGAGGTGCCGCAACGGCAAGGGCAAGGGGGGCAAGGGCGCTGGAGGAGCTGGTGGGGGCGGTGGTGGTGGCGGTGGAGGCGGCGGAGGGGGTGCGGGTGGCAGTAGGAGTGGTGGCGGGGGTGGGGGCTCCGGTGGCGGCGGTGGAGGCGGAGGCGGTGGCGGCGGTGGCGGTGGGAGTGGAGGAGGCGGCGGTGGAGGCGGTGGAGCTGGTCGGGTGGCTCTGTGCAGCGGGGTGGCTTCGGTGGTGGTCAGCGCCAGCAGCAGTAGCGCACTCGTGAGACCCCGCCGCCCCAGCAGCTTCGTGACTGGTACGCTGCGCGTCAGCGGGGTGGGGGTGCTAGTCACTGTGCCTACATCCTGCGTACCGGCGACCGCACTGGTGAGCCGTGCGGCGGCCCGCACACCACCCATCGCTGCTTTGGCCGCCTGACATGTCAGAACATTATAGCTTATACATTTGTGTAGGCTGTAGTGGGGTAGCCCATAAGGGGTACAACCCAATTAGGGTTAGTACTTGTACCCAACTAGTTTCATAGTTCATTTATTCCATTCTCACTTCTCGTCATGGTAACGAGTAGGTTCCTGAGTGGGAATACTGCCTAGGGCCCACCACGAACTTTTTTTTCCTTCCCTGCCCAGAGCGCGCTTAGCTCCTAACCCGAGTAGCGCCTCGAGCCGCCTTAGTGGCCCCTGTTGGCCGCCCTTACTGCCCCTCGAGCCGCCCTCTACGGCCTCGCTTAGGCCGCTTACGACCCCGTTACGGCAGCGCTACGGCCCCGTCGGCCCCGCTACGGCCCCACTTCGGTCTCGTCGGCCCCGCTACGACCCCGCTTAGGCCCCGCTACGGCCCCGTCGGCCCCGCTTAGGCCCCGCTACGGCCCCGCTACGGCCCCGTCCGCCCCGCTACGGCCCCGCTTAGGCCCCGCTTCGGCCCCGTCGGCCCCGCTTAGGCCCCTCTACGGCGCCGCTACGGCCCCGTCGGCCCCGCTACGGCCCCGCTTAGGCCCCACTACGGCCCCGTCGGCCTCGCTTCGGCTCCGCTACGGCCCCGATTAGGCCCCGCTACGGCCCCGCTTAGGCCCCGCTTCAGCCCCCTCGGCCCCACTTAGGCCCCGCTACGGCCCCGCTACGGCCCCGCTACGGCCCCGCTACGGCCCCTGTCGGCCCCGCAACGGCCCCACTTAGGCCCCGTCAGCCCCGCTACGGCCCCGCTTAGGCCCCGCTACGGCCCCGTCGCGGCCCCGCTACATCGCCCACTTCGGCCCCGTCGCCACAGCGGCCCCGCCCACCCTTGCGGCCCGCCGCCACCTTAGGCCCCGCAGCCACCTGCGACCTCGCCACCACCTTCGACCCCGCCGCCCAGCGCCCGCAGCGCCGAGCAGCCGAACCGCCGGCCAGCTGAGCAGCCCTGACCGCCCGAGCCGCCCAGCAACCGAGCCGCTCAGCAGCCGAGCCGCCCAGCAGCCGAGCCACCCGACAGCCGAGCCACCCAGCACCGTGCAGCCGAGCCGCCCAGCAGCCGAGCCGCCCAGCACCCGAGCCGCCCAGCAGCCGAGCCGCCCAGCACCCGAGCCGCCCAGCAGCCGAGCCGCCCGACAGCCGAGCCGCCGAGCAGCCCGATCGCCCCACCTACCTGGTAAGAGCACACTCACTGCCACTGCACTGCCCTGCCTACTACTGTTATGGCTTCCCCTAGCGTTCTCACCTTTGACGCTGAGGGTCGGGCAGTGGACTTTGAGGTCTGGGTAGATGATCTGCAGCTTTTCCTACAGTGCGATAGGGCAGACGGCCTCTCCGTGTTTGACCTCACTTCTGGTGCCTCCCCTGCCCCTGCTGCTGATGCTGACGCCACTGTTCGCTCACAGTGGGCCACACGTGACGCTGCTGCTCGCCTTGCTGTGCGCCGCCACTTGTCGACCACTGAGCGTGCACAATTTAGCCAGTACAAGAGTGCTCAGACCTTGTAAGACGCTGTAGTTGCACGCTACTCTTCCCCTGCCACTGCTGCACTGAGCCGCCTCATGCTACCGTACCTCTTCCCTGACCTTGCTGCCTTTCCAACAGTCGCTGACCTCATTACGCACCTCCGCACTAGTGACACTCGCTACCGCGCTGCGCTTCCTCCTGAGTTCTGCGCCAAGAACCCCCCCCCCATGTTCATCACCCTCTACTACATAGTCACCCGGCTCCCTGACTCTCTTCGGGTAGTCAAGGACCACTACCGTCTCCCTGACTCTCTTCTGTCCTCCCAGGACGTCACCTTTGACGAGTCGGTGCCTTACTACCGTCTCTTCCCCTACCGCACTGCGCCCCTCCCCCCGCCGCCGCTCTTCCTTGCGCTAGGTGCTACCCAGGTAGACCCCCTCCCCCCTCAGGGTCCTGCCCCGTCAGGTGTGTCCCAGGTAGATGCAATCGAGCCTGCCGAGGTAGCTGTTGACTCTGGTGCTGCTAGCAGTGCTGAGCCTGCGGGCACCGGGTCTGGGGGTGCTAGGTCTGGGGGTGCTGAGTCTGGGGGTGCTGAGGCTGGAGGTGCTGAGGGTGGGGGTGCTGAGTCTGGGGGTGCGGAGCCTGGGGGTGCTGGGTCTGCTCATGTGGCCACCGGCGGTACTTCGTCGAGGCGGGAGCCGCTCTCTCCACAGGAGCTGCGCGAGTGGTTCGCCCGCCGCTAGAGACGTGCTGCTGAGTATGGGGGTGCTGCTAGAGCTACTGGAGCTGCTGACTGGTGCTGGTGTTGCTGGAGGTGGAGCTACTGGGGGTGTTGGCGCTGGTGTTTCTACTGGTGCTGGTGCGTCAGGGGGTGCTGCTGAGGCTGCTGGTGCTGGCGTTTCTACTGGAGTTGGTGCTGCTGGAGCTGGAGCTGCTGGGGGTGTTGGCGCTGGCGGTGCTGCTGGCGCTGTTGCTTCTGAGGGTACTGGAGTTGGAGCTGCTGGAGCTGGAGGTTCTGTTGGCGCTGGTGCTGCCGCTGGGGGTACTGGTACCGTCCTTGCTGGTTCTGGAGGCGCTGAGCGGCCGAGGCCGTACTTCGTTCCGCTCCTGGAGCAGGTTCTTGGTCTCCCGCCCTCTCCTGGTCCTGCTCCTCCCTTAGAGTGTCCACAGCCTGTCCAATCGCAGTCACAGTTACAGCCCGCCTCCCCTCTACCTGCTCCTTCTCCCTACGCTGGTCCTACTGGAGGTCTTGCTGAGCGTCGTGAGCCTGGTCTCGTCCTGCGTCGCCTGTTCGTGCTGCTCGCACTAGTCATCGTGCTGCACGTCCGCGTCCTCCTGCGGTCCCCGGCACACACCAGATGGCACTGCGTCCTTCCACTGCTCCTCTGCGTGTCCCTTTGTCGTCTCCTCCAGAGTCCTCTCTTCCTTCTCTTGTTGACCCGGAGTCTGGCTCCCTTCGTGCTGCTAGTTCTTCGGTCACGCGCCTTCTTGGTACTGTCGTCACTGACCCTTCCTTTGAGTCCACTGTTGCGTCTGCTCTAGTTGCTGAACTTGTCGACTTCGCTGCCCGCTGTCGTCTAGACTACACTGCCAGTCTCGTTGCTGAGTCTGAGTCTGTCTGTCCTCTGTCCGTCGGGGGTGAGTGTGCTCTTAGCACGGACGTCCTTGAGGACAGGCAGGAGGAGTTCCAGTGCTTTGCGGCTGCTTTGCCCCATCTCGTGTCCACGCTGATTGCCCCTGAGGGAGACCCGGATGCACCAGACATCCCAACTCCTCGATCGTACGCTGAGGCAATCGAGGGTCCCTACTCCTCTCAGTGGCAGTCGGCCATGGACGCAGAGATGGCTTCCTAAAAGTCCACAGACACCTACGTCGACGAGGTTCCCCCACCTGGGGCGAACATCGTCAGTGGGGTGTGGATTTTCAGGGTGAAGCGGCCGCCGGGCTCTCCGCCTATCTTCAAGGCGCGTTACGTGGCTCGAGGCTTCAGTCAGCGGCAGGGAGTTGACTACTTTCAGACCTTCTCTCCCACCGCGAAGATGACCACTCTTCGGGTGCTACTGCACATAGCCGCTCAGCGCGACTACGAGCTTCACTCTCTTGACTTCAGCATAGCTTTCCTACAGGGCAGCCTGTACGAGGAGATCTGGCTGCGCCGCCCTCCAAGCTTCACTGGGTCGTTTCCTTCTGGTACCCAGTGGAGCCTCTAGCGGCCAGTCTACGGTCTCCGCCAGGCGCCCCCTGAGTGGCACGACACACTGAGGACTACACTTGCAGCTCTTAGGTTTGCTCCTTCTACAGCCGACCCGTCGCTGTTTCTGCGCACCGACACTTCTTTGCCGCCGTTCTACATCCTCGTGTACGTCGACGACTTAGTCTTTGCCACTACTGACACTGCTGGACTTGCCCACGTGAGGTCCGAGTTGCAGAAGAGACACACTTGCACAGACCTAGGTGAACTGCGCAGCTACCTTGGCTTGCAGATCACCTCGGACAGAGCACAGCGCACCATTACCCTGACTCAGTCACACATGGTGCAGCAGGTCCTTCAGCGCTTCGGCTTCACGTACTCCTCGCCTCAGGCCACTCCTCTGTCTACTCGCCACTCGCTCTCAGCTCTGCCTTCGAATGAGTCCGTAGAGTCGAGTTGCCCGTACCCAGAGCTTGTTGGCTGCCTCATGTACCTGATGACCTGCACAGGACCTGACCTTGCATACCCTCTTAGCATCTTGGCACGATATGTTGCTCCTGGGAGACACAGACCAGAGCACATGGCTGCAACGAAGAGGGTGTTGCGCTACGTGTGCAGTACGTCGGGCATGGGGCTAGTGCTTGGAGGGCAACATCGAGTAGTCCTCACAGGTCACGCTGACGCTTCTTGGGCTGACAACCAAGGCTACGCAGCGGTCGTCACAGGGTTACACCTTCAGCCTTGGCTCCGGCTCTGTTTCGTGGCGGTCTACCCGCTCGTCCTCTGTTCTCAGCTCCAGCTGTGAGGCTGAGATCTACGCAGGGGCCATGGCTGCATAGGAGCTACGCTGGCTCACCTACCTGGTGAGTGACCTAGGAGAGCCGCCTCGTTCTCCTCCAGTTCTGTACGTAGACAACAAGGCCATGCTGGCCTTGTGTCGGGAGCACAGACTGGAGCACAGAACGAAGCACATTGCACTCGGCTACTTCCTTTCTCGTGAGCTGCAGCAGCGTGGTCAGCTCCGCCTCACCTACGTGGCCTCTGAGGCCAACACTGCTGATATCTTCACCAAGGCCCTTCCGCCTTGTGATCATCAGCGCTTCTGTACTGTGCTAGGTCTTGTGCCTACCTGGCCTCACTTGCTCACTTCTTGATCTTGTTTGTACTGTATTCTTTCTATGCCTGCCCTTGCTTGTTTTACCTTTATATATATGACCTTGCATGTGAACTGGCCTTGTGGCCTTACTCTTGTGCTCGGACTGTGTGGTGACTTTGTAGATCCACCCTGAGCTTGGTTTGCTTTCCTTTGCTTT